CAGACTGTCCGTTCAGGGGAGTGACTTCAGTTTGACGCGGCTGAGAGCGCGGCAAGGGGCTAGCCAGCCTCCAGGACAGAACAGTTCATTACTGAAAGCAATCACAAGTCCTGAATATGAGAGTGGGAAAAAATCTTCTGCGTTTAAGTAAATTCTGACAATGAGTCAAAGAGGACACAATCAGCCCTCAAAACGAGGAGAAACTGCTGCCTCTCATGGTCTTATTTTTCACCCTGTGAAATAAGTGGGGTAGGGAGTCTCCCCTCTCCTCCCCGCTTCCCTTTCCTTCCTCCTAAAAACATTTGAGTGCCTCCTAAGTGCCGAGCACTAGACTAAGAAAAGGAAGTTTGGAAAAGGCCTGAAGTTTTTACTCTCGAGTGCCTTACTAGTGGGGGGGGGTGAAGGGAGGGAGGGAAGGGGAGGGTGAGGAGAGGGAAGGAGGGTGTGGAGACTGACAATTTCAAGGCATGGTGAAATTGCTGCGATAAAGTTTATGTCTAGAGAGTTACAGGAACACAGAAGCAGGTTTTAAATCATGCTGGAAATCAAAGAAGGCTTCCCAGAGGTGGCTGCATTTGCATTATGAAGACTGAGCAGGCATGAGATAGAATGGAGGAAGGTCTGAGCTTCTGGGTGGCTGCAGAAAGCAGGTGATGAGTGCAAAGGTGGGAGATGGGGTTATCCAGGGTGGCAAGCAGGCAGACCATAAAGATCTTATCTGCCAAACTCTGGGATTTGATTGTTGGAGGCTCCCTGAAGAATTTTAAGCAGATAAGTGACTTGATTAGGTTTGTGTTTCAGAAAGATTGTTGTGGAACGCATCTGGAAGGAAGACAGCCTAGGAAGGGAGTGAAGGTGGGGCTGAGTTGGACAAGGAAGACTCCAAAGATATGAGAGAGGTGGAACCTTGAGGATTTGATGCCTGGTAACAAAGGAAAGCAAAGCTGTATGCTATCACTCAGGTTTTTCTGACATGAGCAACACGGGGGATGGAGGGCGACATTCACCAGAAGCAACAAGAGAAGGAGGAGGAGCAAGCGGGACCAGCCAGAGAAGTGATGAGTTGCGTTTCGACAGGTTGAGTTTATGGTCTCTGTGGAATATCCAGATGCAAATGTCCCAGCAAGCAAGACAAGCCACGTGGATCTGTAGATATTTTCAGTGTTATGAGCTAAAAATATAAATCAGGCAATTGTCCACTGATAAGGAGAAGGTAAATACAGGACTAAAGAAAAGTCCCAACACTAGCTAGGGCTGCCATAACAAAGTACCACAAACTGAGTGGCTTACACAACAGAAATGTGCTGGCTCACAATGCTAGAGGCTAGATCTCCAAGATCAGGGTGTCCACAGAGCCATGTTCCCTCTGGGTGCCAGGGGAGCCCTCAGATCTGTTCCAGGACTCTTTCCTAGCTTCTGGAAGTTTCTTGGCTTCTGGCAGCATAACTTCAATCAACGTGGCCTTCTCCTGGTATGAGCGTCTGTGTCCAGGTGTTCCCTTTCTATAAGAACACCAGTGATACTGGGTGAGAGGCTTACCCCACTCCAGTATGATCGCATTGTAACCAATGACATCTGCCCTTATTTCTGTCTCCTGCTTAGAAATTACCCTGTGTTTATATAAAGTCACATTCTGAGGTTCTGGCTGTTAGCAGTTCGACATACGGATTTTGTGGAGGACACCATTCAACCCATCACATTCACAGTGTGAATTAAGTTATTAAGGGCAGGATTGAATATGGAGATGAGGGGAAACCCCAGTTTTCAGTGGGCAAAGAGAAGAGTTCTGGGTGAAAAGTCAGAGGAAAACGATTAGAAAGGGAAAAGGGAGGAGACCCACCAACATGGAAGGGGGAGAAATGTTTAAGTGTGGAGTGATTCATGTTGCCAAATGCTTACAAAGTCAAGCACATAAAGATAGAAATTGCCATGGCCTTTGGCAGTGTGACAGTCGTTAGACCAAATGGTCAGAATAGATGAACTTCAAAGGGCCCATTAACTCCATATTCTGCGACTCTAAAATCATTGTTCAGTAAACTCACTGAGGGGACTTGCCTTCCACGCCTAACCGGCTTTCTCCGCCTTATTTAGATTTAGGGCTCGAAAAGATGGCCCAGGCTCTGGAATCTGGTGGACAGACACTGGACTTCAGTCTGGATGAAAGCAAAACGGGAAAGCAGACCCTAGAGAAGGCGTTTTCTGGGAGGTGGTAGAGGCTGGTGGAAAGATATGGAGGCTCTGGGCCAGCAGAGCAAAGTTCCCCGGGGCCTGTGCCCTGAGGACCTGTACCCCGGCTCACCCTGGAGCCATTCCGTGGTACAATTTAGGCATTGTTCTCAGCGGGATAGCAGCCAAGCCTAATTCTCTGGATTTCTTAGAGATTCTCTGAGCCAGGTAACATTCTTTAAAAATAGGAAAAAAAACAAAAAACCAATGCTTTGTTGAGATAATTCACATACTATAAAAATTCATCCATTTAAAGTCTGCAATTCACTGGTTTTCAGTATATTTTCAAGGTTGTGCAACCATCACCACTGTCTAATTCCAGAACAATTTCATCAGCCTGAAAAGAAACTTCATACACACCAGTGGTCACTCCCCCATTTCCCACCCCATCCCAGCCTCCGGCAACCACTAATCTACTTTGTGTCTCTGTGGATATGCTCACTGTGGACATTTCATGTACATGGAATTATACGCCATGTGGCCTTTTGGGTCTGGCTTCTTTCACTGAGCAAAACTTTTTCAAGATTTATCTATTTGGTGGCATGTATCAGTCCATGATTCCTTTTGTTGCCAAATAACATAGCCAAACTACATTCTGTTTACCTGTTCATCAGCTGGACACGAGGATGGTTTTCACTTTTTGGCTGGTATGAGCAATGCTGCTATAAACATGTGTGTGCAAGTTTTTGTATGAACATATTTTTGTTCCTCTTAGTTAGATATCTACGAGTAGAATTACTAGGTCACGGGGTAACTCTATCTTTAAAAACTTGAGGATCTGCCAGGCTGGTTTCCAAAGCAGTTACATCGTTTTACACTAGCACTAGCAAAGTGTGAGGGTTCTAATTTCCTCGTGGGTGTAAAGTGGTATCTCATTGTGGGTTTGATTGGCATGTCCCTAGTGACTAATAATGTTGAATATCTTTTCATGTGTTTATTGACCATTTGTGTATCTTTGAAAAAATATCTATTAAAATCTTTACCTATTAAAGAAAAATTTTAAAAATCGTGGTTAAAAATACGTAACATAAAATTTCCCATTTTAGCCATTTTGACGTGTACTGTTCAGTGATATTAAGTACGTTCATTCACATTGTTGTGCACTCATCATTCTTTGCCCATTTTAAAGGTCTTTTTAAATGTATCTTTTATTGTTTAATTTTTACATTCTGGATACAAGTCCCTTACCAGAATATGATTTGAGAATATCTTCTTTCATTCTGTAGGTTGTTCTTTCACTTTCCTGATGGTGTTTTAATATTCCTTAATAAATTCCATTTATGCTCAAACTAACTAGAATAGCATTGTCAGTAGCTAAGAACATTGACAGGTGCACTGGATTCTGTTAAATACCATCTTATTCTATTTTTTCTTTCTGTAACAACCTGTCTCATATCACATCTTCTCTCCAAGATTGCCTTAGAACTTCGGTTTTGGGTTTGTTTTCTCTTAAAGCCTTTCTATTCTATTGGAATCCCGCCCTGTGATATCATGATTTATAATAAGAAATACATATTTGGTCTTCATTTCCTTTCTGGCACAGAGTTCCTAAAATCCTTGGAAGTTCCTAAGGTGAGAGCCATAAGGGTGTCTTTTGTTATGTTAATGAGGCACCTTTTGGGCCACACCTAAGGATGAGGCAGTGGTTGCCAGGAGAACCATCCTTGTGATTTGAGGGTTGGAATATTCAGTCCCACACCCTGACCTCTGGGGGGAGGAGTGGGGCTGAAGGTTGAATCAATCACTAATGGCCAGTGATTTAATCCATCATGCCTATATAATGAAGCCTTCATACAAACTCAAAAGGACGGAATTTGGAGAGCTTACAGGTTGTGGACAGCTGGAGAGATTTGAGGAGAGTGGTGCACTCCGATGGCATGGATATTCTGCACCCTTTTCCCATATCTTGCCCTGTGCATCTCTTCCATCTGTCTGTTTCTGAGTGATATCTTTTCATAATAAACCAATAATCCAGTAAGTAAGATGTTTCTCTGAGTTCTGTGAGCCTCTCTAGCAAATTAATGGAACCCAAGGAGGGAGTTGTCAGACCCTCCCATCTATAGGCGGTTGGTCAGAAGCACAGGTGACCATCGGGACTTGTGACTGGCCTCAAAACGAGGTGGAAGGACAGTGGAGGAGTGGGGGAAGTGCAGTCTTGTGAAACCAAACCCTTAACCTGTGTGGTCCGATGCTATCTCCAGATATCAGTGTCAGAATTGAGTTGAATCATAGGCCACCCTGCTGGTGTCACAGAGAACTGCTTGGTGATGTGGGGGGACCCACTGCCCAGACAAATGTTGGAACTTGTGCTCTGAACCCTTTGACACCCACATGTTACATTTCCTGGTTACGGACCGAAAGTATCAATGGCCACCACTAACACAATTGAGCAGGACTACCAGCAGCCTTCCATTCATTTCTCACGTCTATCCAGTCCCAGCCAGAGTCCTGCAGTACCATGCAGGGACCTCCCTCTCCACCCTCTCCCCCACTGCACTTCTCCCTCTCCTGTTACAGGGTCAGAGCCGCTATAGTGAGAGCTTATGAATGAGATCAATGTCCTACTTAACCTATAGACCATCCTCAGAGCCCAGGACAAGGCTTTGCAAACACTTGGAGCATAATAAACACGTGCTAAATGGAACTGAATGATGGGCCTTCTTTCTTTAATTGTATTTTTTATTCTAAAATTATATCTATGCCATCCTTGATTTTAAAGTTTTCTCTTAATGACCCACCTTTGGGGGCTTCGGGAATGAAATTGGGTAACAAGGCAAATCTATGCTATTCAGTGTATGACTGGAAGAGGGGAATTCTTTGGGGGAATTAATTTCTGTGAGTTTGTGAAATGGTTAAAAAAGGTGAATGCTTCACTGATAAAGTTCTCAGGTCCCAGAGAGAAGCTTAAGAGCAGTATTTGGGGCATCGCGGGGCTAAGGGCAGGTTTATCCGGTGGGTTGCATTTCATGATGACCACTGCTCAGTGCTTTGGGTCTGCTTAGTCTCTGTGGACAGTCTCTTATCCCGTCTGTCCCTGAGCCTGTCCAGCGGTCTGCAACTCTTCCGATTAGAAATTGGGGGAAGGCATCTGTTGGAAATAGCAGAAAAGAGCCTGTGCTCATTCAGTCATAGGTCCATCCCCTGTCTACTGAGCACGCACTTTACACAAGACACAGCTCTGGGTACGAAGAGGAGTAAGATTCGTCTCCCATGATCAGGAGTTGGGTGACAAATGAGGCGTCAAGACAAACACAATTAATCATCATCCAAAGCAGAGCGGACCTCCAATAAAAGAGGCATAAAAAGCTGTTTTGAGGATTCAGAGTAAGAAGAAATCACCCATTTGGTTTAAGGAGTAGGAAAGCCTTTCTGGAAGGTGGGAAAGAGAGCCAGGCTTTTGCTTAGAAACTCAGGCCGTCTAAACCATAGTCCCTGTTCTTCGGTAGCTCCTAACCCAGCTGGGATGAGCATCATACATACAGTGGCTGCAATTCAAGACCACACGTGTTAAGACCGATAGGAAAGAGTCACTGGAAAGCTGGAGATCACTTCCTAATAGCGTAACCAGGGAAGACTTTACGGAAGGGTGGGTTTGGGCCCTAAAAGGTGGGAAGAATTTATTAAAATGCATATTTTGGATATAAAGCAATTAAATGCTCTAGAAAATTTGGAAAACTTAGCAAAGCATAAAGAATAAAATGGAAATCATCCATAGACCCACTAACAATAGATAAATGCGTTGCCAAACATATGATATGCTTAATAAAAATTTGCAAAATGAATAAATGACCTTACCATTTATTGTCTCTATTTTTCCCTTGTGCATATTTTTATTATACACATAATTTTGGAACTCACTTTTTAAAAACATATTATATAGAATATGCATTTTAATATCAGTAAAATTATTTGAAAACATATTTTTTAAAAGCTCAAGAATATTCCAGTAATTGATATATCATTTATGCAACCAATTTTCATAGCATTCTCATGTGGATTGCTTCTAAATTTTCAACTATTACAAGTAAAACTTCAATGAAATTGCTCAACACAAATCTTTGTCCACACCTCTGTATTATCAGCATAGATTCCTGTAAGTGGAATTATCAAGTCAAGGTGTATTAACCTTCCTAGGACTCTCAAGAGAGTAAAATATTGCCAACTAATTTTTTAAAAGGCTGTACCAATTTACATTGCCATTAGCAAGGTGTGCTATTAAGACACACGCCTTCACCAACAGTATTATTTTAAAATATTTGCTAATCTGATAAGGAGAAAATAGTAACTCATTGTTGTTACACTGTGTATGTATTTGCTCACTAGTAATGTGGAACATTTTGAACGTGATCGTTTCCATGAATGTTTCCTTTACGTTGCCAGTTCATGTACTTACATCAAATGCTGTAAATGGAATATATATTTGTTTGCAAAACTTGGAAAGAATCTGCAACGCTCTCAGTCAATCTGGTTTCTCTTATGGTTATCTTCGTGTGAGCATCCTGTCATGGTAAGTGTGTGTTTTTTTTTTAAAGCTGTATTCTCATTCATTTTCTTTCTCCCCCTCCCTCTCTTCTCCTTCCCTTCCTTCTCTCTCTCTCTCTCTTTCTTTTCTCTTCTCTCTCTCTCTCTCTCTCTCTCTCTCTCTCTCTCTCTCTCTCTCTCTCTCTCTCTCTCTCTCTCTCTCTCTCTCTCTCTCTCTCTCTCTCTCTCTCTCTCTC